AGACCCATATCGCCCCCTAGTGTTGGGGAGGAGGACACGTTCACGTCAATAATTCTATTTTCTCAGCTGTAAACGTACTGAGTGTGTTCAGTTATTGACAGTATCTGTTCTCTCAGATCATTGGTCAGACACTGATCCTGTACTTCAGTCTGATTGAGGCGCCCTCAGCTGTGTTTGCTCTGTAATAATACTGGTATCATCCTTCCAAACCACACGGTTCAGTATCTCCAGTAAAGCGAAGTGTTATCAGTTCTTGGAGGAGCTGTTCTTCTATCAGCAGGATCCAAGAGTAAATCCATTTTTCTCTGCTTTCCTGAACACCCCCCCCTCATTAGATCAGAGCCACACAGAGAACTATTGTTCCATTGTATAGATGAACACGCCTGCCTGCCTGCACAGGAACCAAAATAACACACATACACACACACTCTTAACACACTGCTTATTGTTCTCGCTGCTTTCTCATTTTCATAAAACATGGAGATTATCGCTCGATATTATGCATTATACGGCTGATGTATTATTTCTGTTTTTATAACCACCTGAGACCAAACACTTCCTGTGATGTAAATTTGTGCAGAAACAGGTTCAAACACTCCTATAACAACAAAAAGCAGATGTTTTCCTCGCACACAGGATCAGCCCTCTGACCTGCTGATTGGTCGTTCACACTTCCTCAGCGGTAGATGGAGGGCAGAGTCACCACAAGGTCAATAACAGACCCACACTAAATCATTAGTTTGACACCTTGGTATAGATTTGAAAGGGCGCTCTAGATGTTGTGAAGATATCAGGGTGTAGAGATCTGAGTGTTTAAGATCTGGGTAAACTGGTCTGTGGCGGTCTGGGTCAGATCTCAGCGTCTTCATTCGGACATTGACTCTGTAGAAACTCTGATTTCAGCGACGATGGGACGTCGTGTCAAACATGAATAAAAAGGATTGGCCTGAAGACCCAACAAAGATATTTAAGGTTCAAACTGATAGACTGATAGACAGGACCTTTGACCTTTGACCTGCGAACAGTCTGTATGGTCCTTTTCCATTCATGATCATTTCCTTGAAGTAATAATCATTTTATAGACGCGGTAGGTCTTCTGTCTTAGCGTCTCGGTCTGATTGTATTTCCATGAAGAAATGATCATAAATGTTCTTCCTTGAGCTGCGGCACCCCGCTGTAGTCTGTAATGGACTGGCCTGAGGTCTCTCTACAAACAAGCGTCTGCTGGAAGAGAGTAGGTGAGTTGTGTTTAGTCTCTTTGTTAAAGAAATGAGTCAAAGTTAAAAAGATGTTTGGTGTCTAGTACTATGTCTGTGACCCTATATGTACTAACCTGAGTAGAACATGGTGTAGTTCCATTCAGTAACAGAACCTCATTGGAAAATTAGCTGATTTAATTTTACCGTGCTCTTTTTCAAATATATTAACTCGACAGCACATAAATCCATACCTGTTAACAAAATCATGATTTTATTGATAATTCGGCTCAATAAAAACACCTTTACCTTTTTATTTTAACTACAGTAGAAGTTTATTGGCCCAGTTTATAGACTACAGAAGTGGAGAAACGCCCCCTGCTTAAGTTTATGTTTTTGTTTATGTTGAGTTAGAACAACTCTGAATATAGTACTATGTCTGTGACCCTATATGTCCTGTTGATGAAGTTAGGTGCTGTTCTGAGCATTATTTGTGGCTATAGAGTGGCGTTTTGGTTGGGGGCGTGGCTCTCTGTATTACTATCCTGTTATCGTTACTAAAGTTGGTATAACTAGAGAATCAAGCGGTCGACAACATTCATCTCTGGAGGGGGGGTCTAACTCGGTGTTACGTTGACCCTAAACTAACTTTACGCTGGAATATCCCTTTAACGAAAACGTTTTTTTAAAATTTCGTTAGTTTTAATTAACGATAATAACCCCGGTCAGCACGTGAGACTGCAAAGATATCCTGTTAGCATCTCACAGTAGTGTCAGTGTCAGCAGGTTAGTTCTCAGTTTTCCTCCCTTCAATAATCTCATGGACTCGTGTCCGATAAAAGGAGGTGTCTGTAGATGTCTGTAAACTCAGTCAGTGTCTCGTCCCCTCAAACCGGAGCATCAGGAGGACAAAAAGAAAGTGTTTGTCTTGAAATAGCCGACACATATTTGTCCACTGAATCACACTGTTGCTTTTGGACTCTGGTCATGCATGAAAAACGCCGAACAATGAGTGAATTAATCCTGTAGATGCTCTGGTCTGGGCCGTATCTGCCCTCTCTGCTCTGAAGTAAAGAGCTTTCATCAGCACTTTCACAGAGACGGGAGCAAAGTTTGTCGTATTTCATCTGCAGACGTGTCATGACCACATACCACTGATCACACACCCCTCCTGAAAAACAACATGACCATCTGAGGACATACGTCTCCATTCACAGCAGCCATGTTTACCCACTCACAGGATGAAATATCTGCTGCTTTATGAGTTCAGACAAACATCCATTGTGAGGCTCCAGCTCAAGGCCAAACCCCCGCTCATCTCCCAACAACAAAGGAGGAGGGGGAGCGGAGGATGCTGCCGCCGCCACCGCCGCTCTCTCCTCTCACTCCGCCATCAGAGAAAAATCGCCTTTGAAAACCACTTTATGTCAGAGCTGCAGCGCGCAGACCAAATCAGCGAAAACAGGTCTAAATCCTCCGCTGATCCTGAGAAGAAAACAATCACCGCCAGAATCTGACATTCTGTCTCAACCAGCATGGACGCTCATCAGACCGCCACGTGAATAAGCAACAACAGGAGGTGCTGCGGGCGGGGGGACGGACTGTCGGGCTGCTTCACGCTGGTCGTTTCTGTCCGTCCTTGAGAGCAGATTAAAGCAGGATCTGTCCACTTTCACCGCTAAACAGCATCTCAAACTATCTGCACGCTTAGAAAGTATCAGGAGGGGAAGTGTGGACTTTTCCTGCCCGTTAATACGTCTAAACAGAGCGGGGTCTTCGACATTTAATCTGCTGCTGCTGGTGTTAAGCATCAAATAATGAGACTAAAACTACGTCAGTACAGAAATAAAGATGACAGGCTGGATTTCCAGAGTTTTAGGGCGAGTTTTCAGCTCATGGTTCCAGTTCACTTTCATTACTCCCTCAGGGTCTCCGTGTGTCTTCAGCAGGCAGCTGTCTTCACTAAAAACGCCGACAGACACAGTTTGAAACTGTCTGGAGAACATGGTGGAGCGTTTAGCAGATAAAGAGCCGCAGATTTCCCTCAGGAGTCAGTGAAGACCAAAAACAGAGTCAGAAGAGGGCGAATGTTCGGCTTTTAATATTTCAGAAACAGAACGTTAAATGGAAGATCGTGTTATTTTCACATGTGCAAAATAATTAACGTTAAACTGAGACTGAGATCATGATGATCGATTCTCTGCATTGACTTCAGACGTCCTAAAAACTTACATTTACAAAACCATAAATAAGTTTTTAAAACAGTTTCTCCTTCTTCAAAAATCAGTCACTAAAATAAAAATACATTTAATCAACACGTTTATTTTAGCAGGTCATGGACGCCACCGCAGCAAAGCCTACGAGTTTGTCTGATGGGGTTTTTTAATAATAAATCTTGTGCTTTTGTCCTGAAAAGGAGCTTTCATTAACCAACGTCTCCAAATTCAGCCTTTATAACACGACGACTTTATATTACTGTCATCAGGACTGAACCTGAAATCTGACTCGCAATCCTAATGAGTCAAAACTACAAGAGCGTTAAAACCGCCAAAGTGATGCTGATGTGTGTGTTACATCAGATCATCCCACAGGTGTGTGTTCACCTGCCCGCTGACCGTTTCCTTCTTTACGACACGGTTCGTCAACGAGACGCCGAGAACGACGTACACCAGGTCGATTCAAAAATCATCTCTCGACTGTCCTCCTCCTCCTCCTCCTCCTCCTCCTCCTCCTCCTCCTCCTCTTCCTCCTCCTCCTCCTCCTCCTCCTCCTCCTCCTCCTCTTCCTCCTCCTCCTCCTCCTCCTCCTCCTCCTCCTCCTCTCGTTGGTTTGTGAGTGTGTAGTTTTTTTTTTTCCAAAATGCATTTCAGCAGTTTCTCGTCTGACCTCGATCCATATTATGCAGTTGAAGTGAAACTGTTGTGATAGCAACGGTAACAAGAGAGAGAGAGGGAGAGAGAGGGAGAGATAGAGAGAGAGAGAGAGAGAGGTAACTGCGACTGGGAAAAAAAGGTTGTTCTGCCTCGATGACAGCGGATTTTTCTCTGTGATATTACTGTAAAACGGAGCGGGTTCAAAGATTAAATCTACGTATCTGCATCAGCTTCAGTGAGAGAGACAGAGGGAGTGATCCGAGAGACCGCCATGGGCCTTTTCTGGGTCGACTCAGACTGAAATATTTCAACACCGTCAGGAGGAGGGTCGTAAAACCTGGTCGGACCACAAACATGGTTTCAGTCAGAGAAGCTAAAAGACTTTAAAAAGCAAATTTTGGTGCAGAAAGAACTCAGGAGGAGGATTTAGATTTACAAATCTAACAGCCGAGACGGTTCTGCATCCAGAGCTGAACCCTGCAGGTCCAGTTCCTGTTATTTCTGATGGGAACGAGGGACCAAACCAATAAGACCCAAGCTTTACCAATTATCAAATGATCATTCGGCTCAATCCGACTGAAACTAACCTAATCGTTCTGCACATGCTCCAGAATTCACACGTTGACTTGACCCTGAAGTCTAGAAGGTAAAAAAGACCTCTGTGGTCTTCAGAAAGGTCTTCAGAAAGGTGACAGATGGTACGAAGGAACAGTTCTGAGTGGAGCCTTTTCCATAACTTGACTAAGACGACCATGCGTCTTCCTTTACCCGGACATGTCCTCTCTCTGGGGGGCTGTCTGGTCTTGTCTGGCTTTATCCAGGAGTTTATAAAATCCTTCAAAAGTTCAGGGTTTTGTACGGAAGTATGAGTCTGAGTAGCGTGGGCTGACTGAGTTAGAAGCGCCGACCTGTAAAACTCTGCGTGACTCCATGACCCCGCCCTGCTTGGAAGCGTCCTCTTTTTGGGGACTCAGAATATGGTCACCCTAAATTTGACGTTCTTGCTTAAGCGTTTGTCGATTGTTTTGGTACCAGGAGTTTGACCCAGTAGTTACGAGCTGAAAGGAGGGCATGTCGCCACCTACTGTAGCGGAGGAGAACAGTCTCTGTCAAAAGTTCAGTTCTTGTGCAGATCTTAGAAACCAGGACAGGACTTTACCGAGTCCACCACAGCTGGACCTGAGTGTGCACGTAAACAGACTGACTGTCAGAACCGGGTCCATCTGTGAAGATTTCGGCTTCAGTTCAAGTAAACTAGCGTCATTTCTACTGTGAGATAGAGGCGGCCATCTTTGTTTTGGTGTGCTAACTAATCAGAGGCTGTATCTGCAATCAGCTGACTCGTAAATGCCCAATCAGAAGGCCACAAAAATCTAAAACTAAAATCTGGATAAAGAAGCGGATCAATATGACATCATTGAAATAAACCAAAACTCTCCTTTAACACTCTCCTACCTAAATATTCAGAGTCAGATTTTCGACATCCTCGCTGGCGCAGTGTTTCGCCTGACCCGCTCTGGTCCTCCCACACGCTGGATAAATCCAGTCGATGTAGGTCAGAACACACGTAGTAGGAGCAGACCTCAGCGGCCTCTCACTTCTATCGAGCGCTGCAGTTTGAGGAAGAATAGAGATCAATACGTGTTTCACCTGAATCCTTCAGTCTGTCGGGCGACTGATTCCAACTCAACAACCTTCCAGGGTTTCTGTGAAAAAGCTCAGAGCCGCTTCTTCCTCCAACTTCCTTCATTTCATACGAAACACGGCAGAAGAAACCGTCTTTCTTCACGTCTGCGTGAGCTCGCCTCTGAAGGCGTTCGTGATGATGGAAGCTGCTGCGCTGCGTCTCCGTGAAGGTTGGAGGGTGAATCCGGCGGTTTGAGCGGCCTGAGTCAGAGTCCCGCCTGCTGGGAGGACGAAATCAAAGCAGAGACTTCTGAAGGGGGGGGTGGGAACCAAAGTTCACAGCTCTGGTTAGGAGTCAATATCAAAATGTTCTCTAAGGACTTCAAAGTGGTCGCTCTGTTGTTATCATCAGGTCCATTTTCAGTCCAGAGATGAGGATTAAATCAGAGGACGCACAGCTGGACAGTGTGAATATCTGAGACGTAGAGAGACGTCTGCGGAGCGCGCTGACTTCTGTATCACACACTAATATCATGTGGCGTGTGTGCCGGCGAAAGCCCAGAGGAGGCTGAGGTTTCTGGGCAGAGGAACTGACAGCGAGCCCCTGGAGTCCTGCTTAAAATACCTTTCCTGGCCTCAAAGATGTATTTATAAAAATGGACGGCTTTACTCCGCACTACCTCGGTTTTTGAAGGAAGGTTTGAAGATCTACAGACGAGAGTTTCACCAGAGAAAAAAAACAGCACTTGTAATATTTTCTCTGGGACAAACTGGAAGAGGAAGAATTTAAATTTAACATGGCAAAAAAAAAAATATATATATCATTTTGAGGGAGGACAGAGGATTCAGTCTGTTCAGCATGAATTCAATCTTATGACGACACAAACAGACGCTGAGCTGGACTTTAACTGTCCGCTGATCAAACACGTTCAGACCGTTTCTGTACGGCGCTCCTATCAAACCCGTTTAACGATTCGACTCTCGTTCAGATGTGAGCGGAGCTACAATCAGGATCGATTTGTAGTTCAGTGTCTCGCTGTCAGAGTAAAAGAGAATCTGGAGACGGATGTTGCTGAGAGTTTTACTGCAGTAACAGAGAGAAACACACGAGTTTGTAATTACTGACAGATATGAACAAAGAGACGTCGACTGAACAGATTTCTGCTGCTGTGGAGCTAATCATGCTAGAAACTGGAGCACAGAGTACTGAGGAGTTCATATCTGCAATGCACTCTTACATGCACTGTTTAATACACTATTTAATGCACTGTTCATTGCACCGCTCGATGCACTTTTTCCATCCACCGTTTGATGCACTCTTCAATCCATAATGTTTAAACTATGGCTGTCGAACTTCATTGATAGTTAATTTTGTTTATTGATAAGCTAAATTAATCAAACTATCACCACGAGTTATCTGTGGTTCTTTACTGGTTCCTCACGTCTTAAAACGGAGGACAGACGAAGAAGAAGTATTCGATGATAGGTCACAGGTTATTGTTAAAACCTCGGTCTGCTGATGGTCTCTCGGTCTCAGCCTGATCTTGGTTCAGAGGCTGCAGTCCTGGTCGATGGTTCGCCTCCTGTCCCTGACCCTCGCTGTGTATCTTCTTCCTGCTCTTTAACAAAAGAGGGTGAAGTCGTTCAGCTTCATCTGGAACAGCTTCTCTCTGGGTGCAGTTGTCTTTACCTCCCGTATTCATCCACACACAAATGTCATTTCTTTATTTTCTGCCTCATATATTCTGTTCAGCTCTTTCTCTCCTGTAGAAGATATTCTGTGTTTTTCACATCTCACACAGGGAACACGTATTAGGAGGAGGTTAAGATCAGGCGCTCCTCTAAAATAAACAGCTTCATGCTACGATTTCCTCTCCTCATTGAATTGCTGTTTGATCCGTGTGTGGTGTTACACCACCCGTTTCTGCTCCGCCTTTCCTCTCACAAATGCACAGAGATAAAAAAAGCACAAGTGGATAATCAGCTCCTACCCCCACCTCTTTACTACGGTACAAGCAGGAGATAGAGACCGGGTCACTTGGGACTGGTATCAGAGCACGTCGGAGGGGGGGTGGAGGGCTGTTATCTGAAGGTGCAGTGACAGACCCCTGCTGCTGCCGCCGTCCCTCTCATTAGTCACCCTCCCTCTCTTCATCCCTCCATCCCTCCTCTTCCTCCCACCCTCAACACTTGTCACCGTGCTGTCAGCTGCCCGCTCAGCTGTGGACGTACAGGACCAGCCTGGGGACCGCATGGATGGATGGATGGATGGAGAGAAATAAAGACGGGATACAAAAGAGAGAGGGAGAGAGAGATTTTGAGGTGTAAGCCGGGCTTGTCAGATCCATTTCTCTGAACTCTAATCCGCCCTGTAAACGTCTCAGCACAAAGAAAGAGACGGCTCGCTCAATCCCGTCAGTTCACCTGAAACGATTGAAGAGGAGTAGAAATGCAAAGAAGAAGAGGAAGAGCTCTGACAGCAACCTGAGCGGGAAACTCGGCAGGGTTCGATCCACAAGTGACAGACGAGAGACGAGCGCGGCGGCTCACCGAGCTCATTACGTGTCTGATTACGACAACCAAACACACAAATGTCAGCGGAGGAAGTGTGAGAGAGGGGTCGCACCGCAGAATGTAAACAACCTCTTTTATTATATGGCTGTAAATATGTCGACGACACGCAGAGCGAGTTTCTGTGATCAATACACGCCTGATTTCCCCAAAATATAGAGCCGCCATGTTTTCAACATTCACCAGAGGAAGAGCGGGAGCTTCTTACTCATCGTTAATCCAGTTATCGTGCCTTAAAAATAATCCGCTTTTATTTTTGTCTCCTTTGAAACTCGTCCGCCCTCTTTCTCTCTCTCTCTCGTTAACTAAAGGTGTTCAGTTCAAACACAGACTAATTTTAGACTTCAGAGCCGCCTGAGCAGAAGGAAACGAAGTCATGTTCTCGAATAGGAGCTGAATATTAACACTCATGGTTGCTCTGCAGTGAAGTTACAATCGAAGTACCAGAAAAGATCGATCTCTGGACTACAGAGTGAAACAAACCTCCATGGCGACCTCTTTCTGAGTGTTTCCTGGGCGTGGCGATAAGAATAATCTGATTTTTCCACCTGCTGCACTTGTGAAGTGAAAGGTGTTGTAGTCAGGATCTGAGTTAGTTCGGGTTTTTAGGAGAAATCTTGAATGTAAACTCTACCCCTCCAACCAGTTTTCCCCTCAGCTCCTCCTCTCCCCTCAAGCCCCGCCCACAAACAGACGCTCCTGCTCGCTCGTATCGTTCCAGTTAAATTCAGATATAATGCAGATAAATCCTTCAGATCATTACAAATGGGGCCCAGTCAAGGTGAAAGTCAAAAGCATTGGTGCTACTGTAGATGCCAACAGACTACCAGCAAACACAATGTTTGCAGGACTTCTACAACGAGGATAAAGTGACATAGTCCAGGACCCGAGGGAGGACAGTTTAGCGATGGCGCTACAACACGCTACAGCAGGTCCGTTTGACAAGAAACACTTCTGTTACAGACACTTGTCTTACTTTGTTAAAGCGGTTTACCTGTCCAGCAGAAAGGTTACAGGGTCACCAAGATCCCCAAGCGTCCCCCATGGTTTATGTTGACCCGGCTTTTTAGCTCTTGTCCGGTCTACCTCCGTTTTAAGCGCCCGTTATTCCTCCAGAGTCTCCGGTATTTACTTTGTTTTCTTGCTTGTGTCGGCAGTCGTGGCCAAAGGAGGATTCAGACAATTTTCCGAACTTTCTGGTTGGTTTCTACTGTCCGATATTGTAGCACGCTAACTTTGTTTGGGCTCCTGAACGACACGGGGGAGCAGCATTTTCTTGTTGACTGTTTTCTTGTTGACCGGTTTGGTGTTGACTGTTTTCTTGCTGACTGTTTTCTTGCTCACTGTTATCTTGTTGACTGTTTACTTGTTGACTGTTTATGGTTGACTATTTTATTGCTGACTGTTTTCTTGTTGACTCTTTTGGTGTTGGCTGTTTATGGTTGATTGTTTTCTTGTTGACTGTTTACTTGTTGACTGATTATGGTTGACTGTTTTCTTGTTGACTGTTTTTGCTGACTGTTTTCTTGTTGACTGTTTTCTTGTTGACTGTTTTGGTTTTGACTGTTTTCTTGTTGACTGTTTTCTTGTTGACTGTTTTGGTTTTGACTGTTTATGGTTGACTGTTTTCTTGTTGACTGTTTTGGTTTTGACTGTTTTGGTTTTGACTGTTTTCTTGTTGACTGTTTTGGTTTTGACTGTTTTCTTGTTGACTCTTTTGGTGTTGACTGTTTTTTGCTGACTGTTTTGGTTTTGACTGTTTTGGTGTTGACTGTTTTTTGCTGACTGTTTTGGTGTTGTCTGTTTTCTTGTTGACTGATTATGGTTGACTGTTTTCTTGCTTGTGTCGGCAGTCTGCCTCACAACCAATCAGGTTAGAGGAGGTGGAGAACGGCTTTGTTTACAGTCAGAAAGAGCGGACCGCTCAAAAATGTTCAAATGTTGACGACACAGACATAAGAGAACACAGAGATATCGATATATTACCAAATGTGATCAATAACTAATAACTATTGACTGATATTAGAAGATTTTTGTATTAAAACCACAAAATAAAAAGATGCTTCTTTAACAGATTCCTGTCTACTTCACCTTTAAGTCGGTTTTCTTCTTGTGGACCAGACTTCTTTCCTCAGACTAGAGATCAGCTGGACTCTCTCATATGAACTCTGAGTTCTTGTTGCTGATGTGGATCTGTGTGAGTCTATGTGTGTTTGTGTTTTGCTGCCATTCTTGGTCAGGACCCCCCCTGAAAAAGAGATTGATGATCTCAACAGGACTAGTCTGGTTACATCAAATCAAAAAGACACACAACCTGCCTCCTGTCTTTGTCCTCTCATTTACAGAAAACCTGATCCAGCTGCAGGACTCACATCTGGGACATGTAAGACCACATGGATCCATGACCCAGACGGAGCGGTAACATGACATCCAGCAGAAACAGACACAATAAAGACAAACAGACGAGGTGATTTCAGTGACTCAGTTTGAGGATTTTTATGATTTTTTTACCCACAATCAGAGACTTGACCACAATCTGAGCTGAGTCAGAAACATCCAAACAGTCGGACTAATAAATGTGATTATTATTATTAGAGTGATTGAAAAGCTCATAACAACATGTAGATCTGTCCAAAGTCTGATTCTAGATGTCTTTACAAACACACTGATCCAACAGAAGCAGACAGAAATATCCATCGATCACATGAACACAAATATTCAGCAAACAGAGAAAGAAACAGATCATCTGAAGAATTTTTGGGGACGACTGGAAAGACTTTAGACGCTTGGATTTGGGACAGGAAATAAGGTCGTCCTTTTTCTGTGATTTTGACCTCACTTTTTTCTAAAGTCTCAGACCTTCAACATCTGCACCAACTGAAGGTGATTTGAACAAACCATCATCTTGATGTTGTTGATATCAAACTGTATGAAGATTTTTCAACATGAGAAATACAAACAATCAAAGTTCTCCACAATCACTGTCCTTAAAGCTGCGACCAAATCAGCATCTTTAGAAAAGAATCAAAAAGCTGAAATGAAGAACTAAACCCAGAGTTTTTGGTGAGACTGATCCACAAACATTTACAAACCAGAACATTTCAAGAGTTCAAGGATCTCAGTCCATGATTTTGGTCTGATGGACTCAAAATTCTCTTTAGTTCACTTCTATAAACTCAGCAGAGTCTAAAATATAGAGTCCAGCATGTAGAGGTTCAGTGAATGTGGTCTGGACTCTGTGGAGGAGAGTCATGGTTTCAGAGACGCTGTAGAAGGACAGAATACCTGCTCTGTGATCCAGGTACACTCCTACTCTGGAGGACGGAGGACCTGAGACACGAGTTTTGACTTTGTTGTGATCAAATTTATACCTGTCTTTATAACAGACTAAACTCCAAGATTTGTCATTGAATCCAAATTTACAATCATCTGATCTCCCGTCTCTCCTGATAGTCTTGTATGCGACTGCTACATCAACCCCGCCCCCTCTCCGCTCCACCTCCCAGTAACAACGTCCAGTCAGACTCTCTCTACTCAGGACCTGAAAATTATAATCAGTGAATCTGTCTGGATGATCAGGATAAGACTGTTGTTGTTTTGTAAATGTTGCTCTTCTGTTTCCATCAGATAATAACAGATAACAGTTTGCTGTGTTTGGATCCAGTGTGATTCTTTGTGAATATCTTAAGAAACCAGCTCTGGTCTTGGGTTCTGCTGGTCCTGGTTCTGGTGGTTCTGACAGTAAAACATCCACATCAGTCACGGCCTGTGAGACGTTTGTCCACGTCTCTCTCAGAAGATCCTGGAGTTTCTCTCTGAGCTCTGACACAGCTGCTGTCACCTCCTCAAAGTATCTCAGAGGACGGATGTTGATTCTGGATGAGTCAGCAGGTTGACCCGGTTCTGACAGTGAGGGGTAGCTGTGCAGAAACTGGTTGTGGTCCTCTGTGAGTGAGAGCTTCTGCAGATCAGCGTCTTTCCTCTTCAGCTCAGTGATCTCCTGCTCCAGTTTCTCCTGAAGCTCTTTGACTCGACTCACTTCACGTTCCTGCTGGGATCTGACCTGCTGCTCCACCTCAGAGCGGCGTTTCTCCATCAGACGGATCAGCTGGCTGAAGATCTCCTGGCTGTGGTCCACAGCTTTATCAGCAGAGCCGTTGATAGCCTCCACCTCCTGTTGGAGCAGCTTCACATCTTCTTCTCTGTCCTGGATTCTCTGCTGGATGTTTCCTCGACTCTCCTCCAGATCTTTCTGCCTCTCAGTCCTTTCTGCTGCAGCTGAGACTGTGTCGTGACCTTTGTGTTGGTCCACAGAGCAGAGATAACAGATAGACTGTTGATCAGTGCGACAGAAGATCTTCATCACCTCATCATGACGAGAGCAGATGTTCTCCTGGAGCTTCTTGGAGGGCTCCACCAGCTTGTGTTTCTTTAATGGAGGAGATTCAAAATGAGGCTGGAGGTGAATCTGACAGTAAGAAACCAGACATTGAAGACAGGACTTGACAGCTTTCAGTTTTCTCCCACTGCAGAAATCACAGGCCACATCTTCAGGTCCAGCCTCAGAGGAACCATCAGGAGCAGCTTGGAGTCCGCTCTTCTTCACTTCCTCCACTAAACCTGCTAACATGGTGTTTTTCTTCAGGACAGGCCTCGGTCTGAAGGTCTCTCTACACTGAGGACAGCTGTAGATCATCCTCTCATCCTCAGTATCCCAGTAGGATTGAATACAGCTCATGCAGAAGCTGTGTCCACAGGAAACAGTCACCGGATCCTTCAGAAGATCCAAACAGATGGAACAAGAGAAAGACTCACGGTCCAGATGAACTCCTTTCTGCGCCATTTCAACACTCGCTGTCGACGACGACTGACTGAGTTTTATTTCCTGAGAAGTGAAACTAGTCTGAGCTCTGATCTCAACAACATGTGTGAGTCAGCAGGATATGACCTCAGCACACGGAGGTTACACCCAACCAAGACTGTAGATCTGAAGGGGAGGGAGCAAGGAAGTGAGAGTGCAGAGTGGAGTGAGCTGAGAGAGACGAGGGAGGGGGGGGATCCAGTTTGTCTAGAATCCAGGAGGAGGAGCGTCTCTGTGAACTTTAGACTCTCAAACTCCAACAAGCAGAAGTTCTTAAAGCTGCAGCCGTCCTGAAGATCAACTGAACCAACATTTATTCACCTCATAGAAACCTCATCGAGCAGAAACACACTTCAACTGTTTTAGAGACACAGAGTTAAAGAGACAACACAGAGAAACACTCTCTCTCTCTCTCTCTCTCTCTCTCTCTCTCAAGCCCCGCCCACAAACAGACGCTCCTGCTCGCTCGTATCGTTCCAGTTAAATTCAGATATAATGCAGATAAATACTTCAGATCATTACAAATGGGGCCCAGTCAAGGTGAAAGTCAAAAGCATTGGTGCTACTGTAGATGCCAACAGACTACCAGCAAACACAATGTTTGCAGGACTTCTACAACGAGGATAAAGTGACATAGTCCAGGACCCGAGGGAGGACAGTTTAGCGATGGCGCTACAACACGCTACAGCAGGTCCGTTTGACAAGAAACACTTCTGTTACAGACACTTGTCTTACTTTGTTAAAGCGGTTTACCTGTCCAGCAGAAAGGTTACAGGGTCACCAAGATCCCCAAGCGTCCCCCATGGTTTATGTTGACCCGGCTTTTTAGCTCTTGTCCGGTCTACCTCCGTTTTAAGCGCCCGTTATTCCTCCAGAGTCTCCGGTATTTACTTTGTTTTCTTGCTTGTGTCGGCAGTCGTGGCCAAAGGAGGATTCAGACAATTTTCCGAACTTTCTGGTTGGTTTCTACTGTCCGATATTGTAGCACGCTAACTTTGTTTGGGCTCCTGAACGACACGGGGGAGCAGCATTTTCTTGTTGACTGTTTTCTTGTTGACTGTTTTCTTGTTGACTGTTTATGGTTAACTGTTTTCTTGCCGACTGTTTTATGTTGACTGTTTTGGTGTTGACCATTTTCTTGTTAACCGGTTTGGTGTTGACTGGTTTGGTGTTGACTGTTTTCTTGTTGACTGTTTTCTTGCTGACTGTTTTTTGTTGACTGTTTATGTTTGACTGTTTTCTTGCTTGTGTCGGCAGTCGTGGCCAAAGGAGGATTCAGACAATTTTCCGAACTTTCTGGTTGGTTTCTACTGTCCGATATTGTAGCACGCTAACTTTGTTTGGGCTCCTGAACGACACGGGGGAGCAGCGTCTGCCTCACAACCAATCAGGTTAGAGGAGGTGGAGAACGGCTTTGTTTACAGTCAGAAAGAGCGGACCGCTCAAAAATGTTCAAATGTTGACGACACAGACATAAGAGAACACAGAGATATCGATATATTACCAAATGTCATCAATAACTAATAACTATTGACTGATATTTGAAGATTTTTTGTATAAAAACCACAAAATAAAAACATGCTTCTTTAACGGATTCCTGCTGACCCCACCTTTAGACGAGTTTGAAGTATTTCTGAGACTCTGAATTAGAATAAAAATTAAATTGCGCTTGTAAAGAGTGAAAGTCCTGCAGGGTTGTAAAATGTGTAAGGTTGGAAAGAGGTGAACAGTAAAATGATGGACAGGTTTGCACCTTCAGTATGTTGGGTTTTGTCTCCTCTACCTCCCTTCTTCTCCTTCTTCTTCTTCTTCCTCTTCTTCTTCTTCTTCCTCTTCTTCTTCTTCAGCAGCTGAGGTTTGTTTCCTTCTCCACATTTAAGCTGCTCAGTTTTCAGGTCAAAGCTGTGTGGGATCTTTTGTTTAAAACATTTAATTCACTAAAATCAGATTCTGACTGATCCTGTTTGGAGATTTGTGACATGGCTGCGGGGTGTGTGTGTAAATCTGAGCTCCTCTTATTGGGGAGACTCACTGATGGCTGCTGCTTCGGTGGGATCTCTGCAGGTGTCTTCCAAACCCAGAAACAGACCCCCACCTGCTGTCGGTCAGAATTTAAAAGGATGGTTGGGGTTTTTGAAGTGGGGCTGCAGGAGATTCTTCTTCAGGGTAAGTTTATTCACCTCCGGGGATCCTGGCCAGCTTCAGCAAACGTAAAAAAAAAAAACCCTGATCCGAGCGCTAACTGTGAAGTAAGAAAACGCTTTATTTAGGACATTCTGGAGATTTGGGGTCAATCCTAACTGTCACTCTTCCCCCCTCGTCTTACCCCTCAAAAAAAGGGCCAAGGGGACGGGGTGAAAACACGCCCCTTAGAAACGAGACGCCGCTCGATTTCCTCTACGTCATCACGCCTTTCTGCTTACAGTGAATCTGTCACTCGAGTCTGACATCAGCGTAGCTATCGATTGCTATATTTTGTTGGCTAGTTCATCATACTGTGCGATTTTAGAGCACAAACAATTCAAAACAAGCTAATATTTATGTGGAGTATCAAAGAACTGAATACCTGATAAAAACACGAGTGTCATAACTTTGAAAATCAAATCAAAATCTAACCCTTCACTTTAAAGTTTGTCTTTATTTTAAGGGCTGTGAACCCCGTGCCCTTTACCCTTCCCAGTGTTTCCCGATACTGTATGTGATCGGCGCCCCATCCTGCCGATGAGAACCCTACCCCAAAAAAAATTGAAGTCGTAAATTAATATATACGTTTAATTATTATTTTTTATCAAAATCATTTTTGCAGAATTTCAGACTCTAAAGCTCACAACATACATGCGTGCTGACATGCTGACATGCTGCGCTGCGTAATTCAGATGCACGGCATCTCAGCACCGCTGGTCACGAGCGCTTGCCGTTCATACGCTGCCAGTTTTGCGCAGGATGGTTTCGAAAACCCGGGGTTCGGGCTCCTTTGCATCACGTTTGCCGCCAACAAAACAATTTAAAAAACTGGTCATGGAGAACCGAACCGTCCCCGAAAGGTCAGCAACCCAATTGAAGATATCTGCATTCTTTAAAATCAGACGGTACGTAGTGATGCGGACGCCAACTTAAGGATTTCTCCCATATGAAGAATTAGGACTCCCCTTGGCTTGACATGAACAAACAAAACCGAGGGCCAAGGTACGATCGGGATCGGCTCTTCGCTTAAGAAAGTCCTAGTCTAGTTTGAAGTCCAAGTCTGACTGCAGACTTGACGCTCCGGTCCGAGTCGAATCATTGGAACGAGAAATGCCGAGTGTTCCTGTTGTTGGATTAACAGTTCAGAGGTGGAGCTGAGGTGTGTGTGTTTGTGGTTTCAGGAGCTTTAGCAGAGAGCCTCAAGTGGACATTCAGGGAACTGCAGTTTATTGGCTTCACCTGCTGCTGCTGCTGGTATTCATCACACTGGAGCGGAGTGATGGGGTGACGTCCCTCCACCAGAATAACACTGTGTGTGTGTGTGTGTGTGTGTGTGTGTGTGTGTGTGTGTAATGGAGCTCTTGCTGTGTTTATGTGGCGTGTCTCTGACGTTTCCACAGAACTGTAACACGGTGTGAAGACACACTCAGTGGGACGGCAGTATCACACTGTTACAGAGGAGAGCATGACGGCTCTTTGTTGCAGACTGTTGCAGGATTACATGAGATGTTTTCAGTGTGTATTACAACAGCGGGTCATTAATGCAGTTTGTGTTAGAGGACCTGAGCTGGAGCAAACCAGGCGACCTAAAAACTGTTGGTTTGATTCAGACCTCCTCACGTTTAAACTCGTCTCTACCTTCAAAATAAAAGCTGTTTGTCTCAGTAAAGCTGCTAAATTCTGAGTGAGTAAACGATCATTTATTTAACCTTCAACTTTAAACTAAAACTATTATTCCAGTCAGTCACACTAACTTTGCAGAAATTCCTACCTCAGAGGAACATCCTGAAGTTTTCCAATTAAATTTGCCTCATTAGTATTAAATCCTTTTTTTCTGGCTGTGACTAAACATACGCGCACAGAAACGGCGCCCTGAGTGACACCTCTGGGTCAAGAAGTGAAGGATTAAGCGAAGGTTAATTTCGGTTCATGGAGGGAAGGATTCAGAGTCACGCCAGGAGGAGGAAAATGTGCCGTTTGCAGGATTTGCAGGGTGTTGCAGGAGACGGATAAATGATGCAACAGAGGGATTATCAGATGACTCCCTGAGAAACTCAAAGTCATCTTGTGCCGCAGAGCTGTCATGATTTTCCCACTCAGAGCTTATTCATATCAGACACTCGCAGTAATCCAAACCTGGAGGTGTGAAGTAAATACTTCACAACAGTCTGACTCTCCTTCTCTTGTTCTTCCACACAGCTGTTCTCGCCGCTCAAACACACTCACCTGCAGCCGTTCAGTATCTCGTGCGGTTCCTGGGTCCTGTGTGGGCTGCATGTTGTGGTTTTAAGACACGCCGCTCAGAACAAACAGACCTCCTTCTGCTTTGAGCGTTCGGCTTGTTTGCAGCGGTCGCTGTTCTCCACAGCAGCTGAACTGCTTTTGCAAATGGCCCACATTAAGTTTCCCTGGGAGCAGAGCGGTGATTTCGCAGCTCAGGAAAGGTCAAGATTATTTGGTTTCTAACCGAGTCTCTTCAGGATGAATCAACAGAACCTCCTCACCCTTTAGAAACACGATCCTGAAAAGACCGTGGATCAGAAACTGGAAATATTCGTTTTGTTTCACAGAGAATCTCTGACTGATACAAACACCAACGAGGAAGAAAATAGAGATTAATTTGAGTTTAAAGATCTAAAGTTCATGCTGGATTACATCGTGTTTATAAGCGAAAACATATTTCAACACTTCGGCCCCTGAAGCATCTTGGCGTACGGTGCATGCGTCATTGTTATTTGTCTGTTTTCACGCCAAGCACCCATGTTGTGTAGATAATAACTAAGCTTGTGCCCACACCTTCGGCCTTTGTAGCATCGAGACGGAGCAAACTGGGGTTGGACACGCCTGGATTAACTCCACACCACCTGCTTTTGACCACGTGTTTTAGATCTGTCCAATCGGGCCAAAATGTTGTATTTAGAAAACCGTTTAGAGATGAATTACTGTGTGTTAGAGTTGGATGGTATGACGGTATAAAAGTGTCTACCGGTGAAGAGAGAGAGCAGATGTCTGCTGCGTCTCTCTCAGTCAGTGTGGAGTTGTCTGCGCTCGCTAACAGGAAAGTCGGAGCACATCCGTTTGGGTGCGTTTCCGTATATTCACCAGCGTGTCGTGTGGAGTTTATTCGCTCTGTTTGATTGGTCAGGTTTGGGTGCGCTCCCTATAATCACCAGTGTGTCCAGCAGACTGCTTGGCATAGTTTCGACGACGAAGAAACAGCGTCACTGGTGGTGGTCATGGCGGACGCGCAGATTAGCGGCAGTACTGAGCAAACGGAGGCAGACGACGCACCAAACACGAGGAAGAGGAGGAGGAACTCGTTCTGAAAAAGGGTGCGAGTCGAGACAACGGTTGTCTGGAGATTCTTTGGATTTAGAAAATTTGACAATGATTGAAAAACAAAACTATACAAAGAGAGTCGTGTGTCTGTCGTTGGTGGAGGAGGAAACACCAGAAACCTCTTCCACCACCTGAAGATGAAGCTCCTCTCAGACTAAAGAGCTTTCAGAGTCTTTTACCAAAGAAACGCCATATGATCAAAAATCTCCAGACTGGTCTGACGTTTAGTTTGCATAAAAGTCTGAGTTTAAAAACAAATGAGACAGTTTGGTTATTTTTAAGACAGTAATTGAATTTACAGGGAAAAAACATACCGTGATGTAAACCGTTACTGTTGATATTAGATTTTGTTCATACCGCCCAACACTACTGTGTGTGGTGTCTACTGGGTTAGCTCCTCACCTACTAAACAGGTGTTGAAAACCAATAACGGTAAACTGATGAATTAATTTGGGTTCTGTCAATCCGGTCCAACTCCAGCCCGACTAAAAACCAGTTTCTAAGACCTCCATGAGACCAAGACCGTCTGTAGACCCGCGGCTTTAACGAAAGCTTTCCAATTTCTCAGTCCAAATGAAAACGTCTCGACCGTCTGACTCTGGTATCAGACAGAAGTGCGTAACATCAGGTTCAGAACCTCTATAAGAGCCGAGATCTCACGGAGGATTATCATCGTCGTTAAGATCTGCTCTCTTGTTCATGTTGTAATTGAATTATCCGTGTTATTCAGAGCTCTGCGGGAGGCAGGAGGAGGAGGAGGAGGAGGAGGAGGAGGAGGCTGTGTGGGAAACGTGACCAGACTTGTTAAAAATAATTGCAGCGTGAAGGTCTGAAGCTCGTTTTTAAAGACAGAAGAAAACGTTATAATTAACTCAAACTCACTACAGACTCACTTTGGGAAATCACATCAGAAGATCCTCCTCTGGGAGACAGAACACCTGTCACAGGTGTGTCAACAAACAGGAAGCTGAGTCTTCTTCACTTCCTGTTTTTGAAGCGGATGTCTATTTGAGCGACAAGAGAATGTAGGAATCGATTTTATTATGAGTTGGACGCACAGGTTTGTTCGACCAGTTTGAAACGAGTCAACACACGAGGAGAGCAACTTTCCCACGCTTGTACATCATAGGAGTCAGTCTAAACGATTGATCGATCTTAAATCCTAATCGGATTATTTGATTATGACGATGTTCAAAACATTTTAATTCTCAAATCAATTTTCCTCTCTATCATGTCTCGTGCCTCCAGGCCACCGTAGGCTCCTCCCCCTTTCTCCCCAGTTGCCACACACACCAGTGTAAACAAACATGGCGTTTGCAAAAGAAGGCGATAATTTCGTGGTTAAATAGGACAAGAGCGAGTCAGTCGTGTTGAATTGGTACGACTTCACAGTTTCAGATGAAGAGTAAACCACTCCCCGCTGTAAAGTCTGTCTGAAGGCGGTATCAACCCGTCACCATGGAAACAAATTCAGGAGTAAACACTAAAGACTTAATCGATTCTGCTTATCGAATCAATTCTTTAACGATTCGCGTATCAATGCCTTTCTTTAATTTAAAAGAAATTAGACAAAGTTCTCACCGTTAACTCAAAATGTCATCAATGGAAATTGAGTTATTAAGTGTTGAGAAGGAGCAGCAGCAGCTGACGACCGGCGGAGAACATCGAATACATGTGACTCCTTAGATTTGATGCTGTTTCCTTGTTGACGAATATTTCAGTGTGTTGCTGCTGTTTCCATCTTTGCATGTTATCACTGCTGGACAAAAGTTGAACTGTTGTCGTCTTTCTTAGTAAAATTAAACCACGCTTTAGATCGTTTCTGTCTACTTTTAGTTCAGTCCGCCATGTTTTTTTCTCTGTCTCTGTTCTCGTTCTTGTAAACTGGCGCTCATGAGACAGAAGGAAGAATCATTAAGATAAATGTAAATGATGTCGATGGATTAAATCATTTGGGACTGGTGGTTCTTGATTCCCATCTGTACTCAAAGTAAAGACCAAATTAATGTCTTTTTTAGAGTTTATCCACCGAGACTCTTTTCATCTGAAGACAAAGACTGAATCAAAGAAGCGTAAACTTCTGAACGAGTTCGGTCTCTGAGGATGGATAACACCGTGTTCCTGTACCTGTCTCTAACAGGTGAATGCTCTCTCAGAGACTGTGTTCATGATATCGTGTGATCGAGGTGTTAAAGTTACTGCTCTCTCTCTCTGATTGCTGTCTCCTTCGGTCTGCAATAAAAAGAGGAGAGAAGCAGCTGGATGCGGACGCACAAACACACACAGATGCTGTAAATAACACAAGCATATGCCCCCTCACCAACGTGTAATCTGCACACACACTGAGGCAGATGATGAATCTGTAGCCTGCAGCTGCTGTGTGTTACACCGCTGAAGATGAAGATGAAGATTCTCCATCTGCAGACAAAAGGAGTCAACCTCCACTGTGTGAAGAGATGAGCAAGATCTCCCCTCCTCTCCTCCTCCTCCTCCTCCTGCTGCTCCTCCTGCGGGGTTCTCCACAGATAATGACCATAAATTAACCATAGCATATCCATGCATACTGCTTCCTCCACACTGCATCCTACTGTGACAAGATGCTACAAACAAGAGGAAGCACGAGTGGTACAGCTGATGATAAAAGATGCAGGTCTCCTTTTACACAGAGCATTATACCAGCCGGCTCTCACATGTGATATTAACACCGTGAATACATTAGAGTGCATACGTTCCTCCCACAGAGTATCGCTGTTTCTGGAGATCAGTGCAGATAAATAATGCATGCTGCTCAGACGCGGCACGACTGCTGAACGTACACAGAGACTACAGCGCTTTCTCCACCAGCAATCGCACAGCAAGCATCACTTAGGACAAGCATCCATTACTGTGCCAGCAACACTCGCACCCTTTGTGTGTGTCGGGAGTTTAACTGGAAAATGATACCCCGGAGAAAACACAATCCAGACTCTCTCTCTCTCTCTCTCCATTTGTTGCTTTTCTTGTTTGTTTCGCAGGATGCAACAAAAACCTCCAACTGATGCTCCGGCGTTTTTCGACGCATGCCTCCACACACTCGCCAAGTTCGCCCCTTTCACGCTGTTTCACTAAATGTTGGCTTCAAATCCCATCATGCATTCGCTCCTGAAACATGGTCCAGTCATGAAAAAGCAGGAAAGGAGTCGTCTCACCTGTTCGTTTGTGCGGTTTCTATCTTCTCTCTCTCTCTCGGCTGTGTGTGAAGCGCAGAGCTCAAACTTCTCTCTCTGGAAAAACCTCCCCTCCTTTACTCTCTCTGCCGTTACTCCCCCTCCAACCCTCCCTCTTTACTCTCTCTCTATCTCCTCCTCCCCCTCCTCTCTCTCTCTCTCTCTCAATCTGCTTCCTCCCTCCCACCCTCCTCGCTCGCCCTCCTTGCTCTTTTTTCCCGTCACTTGCTGGTTTTTCTCCATCTGCTGCTCTCCCTCTCTCTCTCTCTCCTTCAGTGTCTTTCGTCAACCTGCCGCTGGCTTTGAAGCTGCATTAGGCACCCCCCCCCCATCCTCCTCCCCAACCCCCCATCAGCATCACCACCTACACAAAGTATAGATATGGATGCTGAGGGATGCTGTGATTGAATAAAAGGGTTTCGGAGGTGCAATGCGCACCACTGCAGCAGATCAGCTGCTGAGATTGACTCAGAGAAGATGCTCCGTTCCTCTTAATCCTGCCTGAAATGTGTGTTAATGAGTTCAAATGTGCTTGATAAGTGAAAGAATGAGTGCAGATGGTTCCACTGCAGTATATGGAGGTCCTCATTTTAAAAAGTGGACCACCTAAGATTGTTGATCCTCATTCTGGAGCGTCTTAAACATGAATACACCTCATGTTAGTGTATTTGTGGACATATTTCTTCAAAGTTAATGTTTTTGTTGTTTTTGTTCCTTTGCATCAAACAGGAACAGACGTCCGTTCTTGGTCAGCAGTATCACGGTCGTAGTCCCCACTTAGTACTATAAGCCTGTACACGTGTGTGTGTGTGTATTCTCAGGTGATTGGAGGAGCCGCAGAGTCGGTTTGATGTATAGTGATCAGTTTTTTCAGGATGAGCAGGACACTCTTGTCACTTTCATTGACTGTTTTAAGAAGTAGGGCGGTACGACCTCTCCCTCTCTCTCTCTGATAGTGAAGCCAAAACTTTTAGAGCTCCCTCTAGTGGCTGCAGTAAAGCTCATCTTCTCAAACTAGAAAATTAAAACCCCTGCAAATGTTCTCAAATGCAGATCATATTGAGATCGTATCATCTTGAAAAAGGGGAAATGTGGTATTTTAATGATGTTACATCCCTGGTTTGTACAAGCAGCTTTTCACAGATTTGTCTCAGTAGAAACCAAATATAATATTCACTCATAGGTATGTTCGTAAATAACTCAATTTTCCCAAAGTCTTACTGACGAAACTCAAAACATACCATTTCAGTCTTGCTTTTAACTAATTTTTATCTCATTAACTTTAAATGTTTTAGCATTTATCTCTTTCTAGTTTTAACGACAGGATCGTCTTTTATTGAGCTATTTTGTTGCTCTTAATTTAGTAACTTTTACTTTTGTTTTTATTTCATTTTATTGATTATTTCTTAAATTTCTTTCTTTGTTTTTAGATTTTAAACCTCCATGTTTCCATATCTTGAGTTTAAAGTGACGTTTCCTCAGAGCGCACATTCCTGTTTATATGAAATCAAACCCCTTTTAAGTTTATGCATTTTAATTCTGTTTCTGTTGCGTTTAGATCGTGGGGTAGGAATGAGGGGTTGGGTTGGGGTAGATTTGGGTATTGATTGATTGATTGATTGACTTTATAATCATTTTGAGAACCATCTTCAGTGGGTGAGGAGGGAAGCGTATTAATCTGGTATCTGAACTAGGGCTGCTACAATATCCGATTTTCACCTCATGATTATTGGTTTGCATTTTGAAGCAGATTACTTCTGGTAGATTTTAAGTCTCAAAACTGAAAGAAAACTGTTGACAGAAAGTTTGAATGTGAAGTTTATCGCTCACCTCTAAAGTTTTTGGATTTACAATAAATCTTGTTGCGTCGGTGCAAATCTTCTCTCAGTGGGCTGATTCTGCTCGCTACCTCGCTACTGCAGCTGCATCTCATCCGTTTTCTATTTTATGAGTAGTAATCGACCACTTGTATGAACTCACAGTGGTACTGCAAGCTCATTATTAGTATAGTATTAACATTTTTTTAAGAGACAGCTATTATCAATACCAGTATATTTTAACAGCCCTAATCTGATCTCTCATAGATAAACATTCTCATTCCTATGCACTGTACCTTTAAGAAGAGGGTGTGTGATGCTGTGATTGACAGCTCTGTTGACGTTAGCAAACATCTGCAGCGTCCTTAACTTTACTATCAAAGGATTAAACAGGATAATGAATGGTGAACAGATAGTTACGGACATTTGAACCCCGTCATGGTTTGACAGGACCTTTAAGATCCGTTAAAATCAGGCGTCCTCACTTTGTCGGTGTCGTGTGATAGTCCTCTGTTTGTACCATAGACCTCTATGTGTGTGTGTATCTGCTTACAGATAAATAGGAGGGGAGGAGCAGCTGTACCATAATAGCCACTGGTGTTTCGCTATGTGGCGACGGCGCTGCCAGCTTCCTCCCTCCTGCTCGTCGTTGGGAGTCATTATCTCACCTCTGGGAAGGAGGGAGGTAAAGCGGGGGAGTTACAGGGAGGGAGAGAGAGAGTACATGTAATGCTCTCAAATTGAAATTCATCCTCGCCCGTCTCGCTTTATAATCTCATTCAAATTCCACAGTCTGTTGCTCGCTCATATTTAAATGAGCACTTGACTAAATCCCTCCTGTGCCTTTGCTTTTCTTGGCCGCCGTTTGGCAGGCTGCCGCGCTCTGCTGCCTCTGAGCATCCTGGACGCTCGACGGCGAACTGGAGCTCTTTCTGGTGTTTTGGCCAACGTGCAGAAATAGAATTAAAAGAGTGGGAAGCAGGGCGACGCAGTGGGGCTAAACAGGTCTAACGGCCTGCTGGCATCACGCGTCTGCTGCGACCTGGGGGGAAGGTAATGGAGGGTGACGCCGCCGAAGCTCAACACAGGTCCACACTGTCCTCGTGAAAGTTTGATGTTAAAAAAACACCAGAAATATGAAAATCAGAGACTTGAGATGTTGGCGCTCCTCGATTCAGAGAGGCTTCTTTCTCGTTTTACGTTCTTTTGGTTTTCAGCGTTTTTCTCTCTCCTACTCTGAATTAGTGGAATTGTTTCTAAGTGAATGACAGCTTCAATTTCAGGGTTGCACCAAACTCAGGATTACATTTGTCGAATCCAATCTGTCAGCTCAGAACAGAGCAGAAATTTTCTGAAGCTGTTGGCCGGACATAAAAAAGATTTTAAGCAAATTCACATCATGTGGAAAAAGTTTCAAAACAGACAATTTGTGGGATTTGATGATTTTAAAATGAGCTAAAAGTTTGTCTTATATCAAAGTATCTTAGAAAAGTAAATAAGGTGTGGAACCACAAACACTTCAGGGCCATTTTTGGACTCAGTTCATCGAAACACATCCAACAGTCCGACAGAATTTCCTCATGGTTGGACAAACTCACCGATAAGGAGGTCAAGTTTCTGCAGCTGCATAAACCTTCAGTAGGGCTTATTATTATTATTATTTGATATGATGATGTTAAAAACAATTAAAATCACCAAACGATTTTCTTCTTTATCATGTCTCGCACCTCCAGGCCACCGTAGGCTCCTCCCCCTTCCTGCAGTTCCCACACACACCAGTGTAAACAAAAATGGCGTTTGCTAAAGAAGGCGATAATTTCGTGGTTAAATAGGACGAGAGCGAGTCAGTCGTGTTGAATTGGTACGACTTCACAGTTTCAGATGAAGAGTAAACCACTCCCCGCTGTAAAGTCTGTCTGAAGGCGGTATCAACCCGTCACCACGGAAACTAATTCAGGAGGAAACGCTGAAGTTTCTTGTCGTATCGGCGTTTCAGGTGACTGTAAATGGTACTTTATACACCTGCTCTGTACTCTTCTTCTGTCTTTTGTGCATTTCCTGTGCAGCGTTACAGCGCCACTTACTGGCTTGGCATACGCACGACATCGTTTTCAGTGGTTTGGTTTTGAGAGATGATAGAAAAACTTTTATTAAAGTGAAGTTTGATGAAGTTGACACTGAAAATAAAAATCGAAAATCGGTTTTTAAGAGGAAAAAATCTTGTTCATTTAGTCTCTTCTCTACATGCAGAACTACATCGTTTTTATTGGTTTTGTTTTGAGAGACGATAGAAAATGTTTTTTATTAAAGTGAAGTTGAATAATAAGTCGAAACATAAAATCGAGTTTTCATAGAAATAATCTGGATTTTATTTTCGGCCTAAATCGTGCAGCCCTGACCTTCAGTCAAACTAAAAACTCTCCGTATGTTTCCTGCACATGCTCTGTAGTTTGCACGTCAGGTTTTCACTGAGGAGTTGAAGGAATCTGTTAGTAAACAAAATCTCAGCTGAGAAATAAGGAGCCGAAAAATCCTTAAAGATGCACTCACATAAATATAAACACCAAAGCCATATTTTCATAGTATTTACTCTGTTGTGCCATCTGCCATGGTGAAACCGTGCCACCAGGATTTCACTGAACCGATGCTGACAGAACAACAGAGGAAAAAAGAAAAATATCTTATTTATTTCTGCATTATCTGAGTGTAGCAGTTGTGTTTTTAGAGCCTGTTTCCTGCGCACACAACCAGAGTGTGGGCTGATTTATGTAAACGCTGATCGGGTCTGTCGTTGCTAACACATCCCTGCAAACATTTACAAATAAGAAACAACAGTTTTATTACGCAGCCCACCAAATCTCCACTTTCCTCCCTTTTCAGAGCAGATAATGAAAAATAGGGCAGGAGCTGCATCTTCTATCACTCTGTTCCCCTTGTGGATGTCTATTTCTGGGCCCTTTATTCTGCCATCTGCCACCTCCAGCAGGTGTTCTGATCCTGCACCATGAGACCAGCGAGCAGGACCGACTCGGATAACCGCCCGCCCCGGCTATCACTTAATGATGGGAGAAGACTGCAAATTGGTCTCCATGTCCCCCTTCATTTCCTCTCCATCTCTACCATCGCTGCTGCTCTCTTTTTGCCTTTTCACGGTCATCCGTCTCTCCGTCCGCTCCGCATTAGCCAATTAACCTATAGCCGGTGTAAATGTGCCAAGCAGAGAGACGAGCAGCCTGAGCCCTCCTCTCTCTCTCTTTCTCTCTCTCTCTCTCTCTCTCTCTCTCTCGTGTTTCTGTTGCTCTTGGTGAAGGAATGTCAGCGTCGTCTTTGTTGGCATTAATTAGTGAGGAAAGCATCTGCTGCAAATGCGACTGCGAGTCCAAAAGCCTTTGAAATGTCATCTCCTGAATACCAATTTAAGAGAGGAAAACAACGAGCGGCGGATGTGGGAATATTCCTCTGTAAATGCAAACAGCAGAGTTGGGTTTTGTATTCTCCGCGGTGTTAAAATTAAGACTTGTCTTCAGATGGAAGGTGGCGTGGTGTGTTGGCAGCTCTAGGCGACCTTGTTAATAACAAAGCAGCGTTTTATCAGTGGAAATAGAAACCACGTTAAGCCTGCGACGTGACATCTTCATCCTCGCTGACATTCTGTTTGATTAGCGCCGCCCGCAGAGACAGATGGAGCAGAGATGGATGGATGCATGGATGAGATGATTAATAGATATGATGATGAGAGGTTTGCTGGGAAACGATCAGAGTATGAGGAAGATGATTGACAGCCAGAAACCCTGTGAAGAATTTGGAAAGGGAAGCTAACACTCCATCTCAGACATATTTAAGAGATAAACCCAAACACAGAGCAGTCGGTCTGCTTGGCTGGGGACTGGAGTTTAACTCGTTCTGTTTCCTGATCCTCCGAGCTTCAGAGAAAATCGCTTTATTAAAGTCGAAGTTGTTTTGAAGTCTCCCTCCTGTTAGTCGATGGCGCCTCGAACAGACATTTACACGACGACAGCTCAACAACAGTCCCGCTGCGGAAACACGTCAACGGCGGCAGATTCCTCCTTAAAGTCCTGGTTGACGATCTGAGAAGCGAGGTGATTGGATGGAGAGGAGGAGCAGGAGATTGACCAATAGGAGCTGTCTGGGATGGATGGTTCCCATTGGTCGATGTGTTTACAGCCCTGCACCTGATAGGGTGAACGTATTTTTTCTGTTCTTTTTTTTCTTCACTTTGTGGAGATCGCACTTCAGGACCATGATCGCCATAGAAACGAGTTTCATAATAATCACCAATCTCTACAATCGTCAACCATGACTTTAACTCATACATAAACTTAAACCAAACATTAGAGTCGTGGAATAATGAGACCACAGGCTGATCCAGCTCCTGTGACCCTCCTGAAGACCGGTCTGAATGTGGTTCAGGAGTCAGTTTGGTCTCCACACCTGGGCTTCTTCCTGATGAGACGACAGATGGTCTCCTGGGGAATCTTCCCTCAGACCTGGTTCAGGGCCTGAGTCAGCTTCTGGCAGTGGATGTAATGATGCAGGATGTTCCCCGGGGGTCTTGAGGAGACTCAGCTCTGGGGAATAATTGGATCACATCAATCCCTTCATCATCCAGGAACTGCTGACCCCAGGAGGAACCTTAGGGCCACTGCACCAACATATGGTCTGGTGATGGATTTGAGGATCTCATCCTGGTCCCAACAGCAGTCAGGGTTCCTCAGGCTAGTCCATGGAGTTCTGTGTGGCCCTCTCCAGACCACCACTGGGTCACGCTGGAGGATGTTTCAGCAGCAGGATGTTCTCCACGGCGTCTCCTGACTCCATCATGTCAGAGTGGATGAGGAGAACGCCAGAAGGACGTCAGGAACATGAAGATGAGCTGGAGGGCTTTGGCACTGCTCCTCCTAGAGGAGCTGAGAGCGGTCTTGCTGCTGGATTGTTGCCCTCCTTCACCTCTCCTGGTGTACAGACCCGTCTCCTGATATCCTCTCCATGTTCTAACACAGTAAACTTTCTGTCCATGGATCCTGATCACCGGTCTGGGACTGAACACTGACCCAGCTCTGATCTGGAGTTAAACTTAGACGTGTTTGTTTCTTAACCCTCAGTTCCTCCTCGGTCCATTTTGAGGACATTTGTCATTTTTTTCCTCTTTATTCTGAACTGACAGTCACAGTTTTAAAGATTAGGGCACCACATTTGCTGAGAGTTCTTATTTTTCTTCATATTAAAAAAAAACTCGGTGTCTCCTGTACTTCTCCACATTTTAGCTCCGCCCACCCTCCTTTGTCCAAAAATCGGCCAATAGACTTCCATTAAAAACAGTTTTTTTTTGAGCGTGTGTTTACGGCACCATAACAACATATGACACCAGATCTGGATGTCTAAGAGTGGGATATGTGTGGAAGGAGAAGTCTGTGTGCTCCTGCGTGTCTGCACGGGTGAGAATCTGTGTCCATGTTTAGAACCGGGCATGATGGGAGTTTTTACAGTCAAGAATCTGACGTCCAAGTTCTGCAGTGTGGGACAAAGAGAGGGGGACATTTGGACAATTTCAACTTTGTCCTCACTTCAGAGCAGGTGGATGGACATGCATGAGGATGAACAGGTCCTTCAGATCATCAGGGGAGAAGATATCACATCTCAAATATGCAGTTATTTTTATATCAGAGTAATCACGGTCATATTTTAGTTAGAGGAGGATAAACACTTATAAATGATTCACATCTTACAGATATCTTCTGATTTTATATGTTTATATATAAAATTAATTTATTATGAACAAATGAATTTGATCACACTTGATTTGGTCGAGGACGAGGTTCGAGAAAAGGAGGAGAAAATGTCGAGGGTTTTCTGCTCTAACAGACTCAGCTGATTAGAACTTTATCAATAAATATGACATGGTGAACAAAAACTGGGATGAAAAGGGAAAAACATCATTTTTTTTATTCATAACTTTTTGAATAATCAGGTCTGAAGTTGTTTAAGAGATTTGAGTCAAAAAAAGTAAACAGATTATTTTATGAACACTAATCTGCGTGTCCGTTTTGGGGACAAAAGTGGGCGGATGGAGCTAAAATTAGCAGGAATCAAGAGTTAAAACTGACTCCATGTTTCTCTGTGTTGCTTGAGCGTGTACTTCCTCAAAGGCCTCTGTGATGATGATGATGATGATGATGATGGGTGTAAATGTGAGTGTGAGGAGGAAGAGGAGGAGGAGGAGGAGGAGGAGCTGATGAGTAAAATGACTGAGTACTCCTCCGGGCGGTGATGTAACCGGCTGCTTTCATTACAGTGACTCAGATTTCCCTCTGGTTAATAATTCATCACTCAGATCCACGGATGCTCACTGTCTTCAGCCTCGGCGGAGGAGAATCCTGCCTCCACCTCCCTGAGTTTATCAAATATTTGAACATGTTGAAGTAAGACGGAGGAGTGTTTGACTGTGGGGCTGATTTGCTCTAGTTAATTTTTGATGATTATCTTTATCCGCCCGTCTATCCAGGAGATCTTTAATATCTCTAATTGCCTTTTTTCATATCTTGGATCCACATCTCTTTTTTTATTCCCTAATTTCCCAAACACAGACGGTAGCTCGGTGTGCGTCACACTGAAACCCAGACCCTCTGGTTCTGCGTTTGCATACTAACCAGCTTCCCATAAATCATCTCCTATATCTTAAAAGCTCGTTAAGAAAGAACGGGGCGCTCTGCAGAAACCGAAGCAGGTAGGTTTGGTTTATCTCCGGCAGCAGAAGGATGCAGGAAAATAAACGTGACTGTGTCTCGGGGCTGTTATTATTAACATCAAGGGCTTTGGAGAGCGTAGCTTCACGTTGAGAGGAGCTCTGTCTCTGTGGGCTGGCCTAGTTTCATCATTAGGTCTGTTTTTATGGAGCAGGCTTGGAGACTAAATATAGCAGCAGAGTGGGCTCGGCCACGCCGCAGACGGAACAAAGGCACCACTTGTTTTTGTTGATGAAGATAAATGCAGATGAAGCTGTTGTATGGACGAGTCAGAATCTCAAACAATAAACACCCAAACTCCTGTGACTTAGAAAGAGGTACTGTCAGCACCACGAGCGCCGCGACTACACGAGCCAATCAGAGGTGAACTGACAGGACCCTCTGTGCTCTCAGCGTTAATGAAACTGTTGGGGGGTTACGAGCATAGACACTATATATGTAGATGCCTCATTACGTGTTGGAGCGTAATCCATATTGGATGGGTCTCCCCACTCCAGGTTCGCTCAAGAGCCAAACGGCGTCGATGGAGAACGAGCGACTGCCCGTTTTTTTTTTGCGCTCTATGGTTGAAAAACCCGACGCAGTCTTGAAACCAGATCACGTCTTTTTTATGTGTGACATTGTCCTGTATTACGGCGACATCCCTGCCTTTGTAACAAACCAAACCGTGTGAAAATCAGGCAGAGATTCAGAGTTATTATCAATATGGTTGGACATTCCCACCTACCTTAATGCACTGGAGGCGCATGGGAGACCCATCCAAGATGGCGGCCAAGCTGAAAAGAGAGCTCTAATAGGCAGTGTCTGGCTTGAGGCATCTACGTATGTAATGTCTATGGTTAAGAGAGCCGTCATGAGGGTCTAGGGCTGCACGATAAATCAATTTAAATCGTAATCGGATTATTTATCGGATTGGATTATGATGTAAAAAAAAAAATCAAAATCCTCAAATTGATTTTCGTGGTTAAATAGGACAAGAGCGAGTCAGTCGTGTTGAATTGGTACGACTTCACAGTTTCAGATGAAGAGTAAACCACTCCCCGCTGTTTTGTCTGTCTGAAGGCGGTATCAACCCGTCACCACGGAAACGAATTCAGGAGGAAACACTAAAGTTTCTTGACGTATCGGCGTTTCAGGTGACTGTAAACGGTACTTTTTGAAAACGGGTCAGAGAGTGAATAAATCTGTAAACGACGACCATTTCATCTCCGTGTGGATGTCTATCTGCATCTCTGGAAACGATCATGTGACACACAGAGTAACTCTTTTATGGCGCCGAAACAACCTTTAAACACACGCTCTGTACTCTTCTTCTGTCTTTTGTGCATTTCCTGTGCAGCGTTACAGCGCCACTTACTGGCTTGGCATATGAACTACATCGTTCTCAGTGGTTTCGTTTTGAGAGATGATAGAAAAACTTTTCATTAAAGTGAAGTTTGATGAAGTTGAAATCTGAAAAATCTGGATTTTATTTTTGGCCATAATCGTGCAGCTCTAGTAAGTTCTGTTTTAAAATGACGTCTTTGCTCTAATTTACACCATAATCCTGTGATTATGACGATCTTGCTGCTCCAAATCGACCCACCTCTCATTTCTCTGGAGGTTAACTGACTAACAATAGTTTGTGTCTGGCTGGATTCCCACTATTCAACCTGCAGTCGAGTCGTTTGTTTAACTGGAGGATGTGAAAAGCTCAGCACGGCTCCAGGATGGCGCTCTGAATCATTTTCTCACCTGAATCAAAACAAAGAAAACCGACTACAGGTGTGAAAGCAGCCAAAGTGTCGAAGGTTCCTCACCTGACAGAAAAAATCCGGTTCTTGAGATTTTCTCGGAGTTTGCTCAAACAGCCCGGAGGCTCGGTTTATGCAGCTCAGTGTGGCCCGCTCTTGAACCCGGTGTGTTGGGGCCTTAAAGAAAGAGCCTCGGCGGCGGCGGCGTTGGCTCTGGCAGCTGGAGGTTCAGCGATAACAGCTGGTGCTGCTTCAAACACTTTCGACAGGTGTCACAGAGTCAGGGTCTATTACCAAGGGTCCTCTGGAAGAGCTGGCAGACTCTCAACTCCTCCCTCAATCTGCCTCAGAGAAACTCTCACAGCTCGCTCTTTCCTGTGTCCTGCTGTTCGATCCGGCTCCACATCAGCTCTTTAAACTGCCTACCTCCGCCTGAATCACAAACACAGCCTCCATCCAAGATTACAGACTGCATTGCTCAGTTGCTTCACTATTAAGTTGTTAACCCTAGAACACTATCGCCATCACTATCGCAGGGTGATTTTTACCTGATAATAATACACCCAAGAAAAAGTAATTGTCATCAAAATAAATCAATATAGGACAAAAAATGACAAATTAAAGTAGTTTTCTTTAATTTTTAACTGTTTAATGTCCAAAGGGAGGAAACAAAGTGCCAACTGACTCATATTTCTTGTTGCCCTTGAAAATCACGACTTTATGATAGTTATTCATAGAGATGTACCGATCTATTTTTTCCTGATCGAATCCGACATCGATACCTGGGCTGAGTGTATCGGCCGATATCCGATACTGATCCAATACTACTGATGAATGAGTGAACTGTATACCTCACCCTGTGACTGAAGGCATCAGGCTTAACAAAAAAAGGTAACAAATTAACACAGATATAAATTTACTAAATATTATTTATTAACAAGTCGATCATTAGCACAGAGCAAAAAGAAGTTAGAGTTACATGTTAACATTTAGTGCAAAAGCATAGACAGACAGAATACAGAGCGAACACAATCGCCGTGTTTCTGTGTTTGATATTATTTAAAAGAAAAAAAAAAGACTTTATCGGCGTCATTCATCAGATATCTGATCCAGTTAATTCGTCAATATCAGAGCCGATATTCGATCCAAATATCAGATCGGTGCATCTCTAGTTATTCATAACCACTGCTCTAAATAAAGATAGCATGTAAACTCCAGGACCACTCTCACTGACCTTATTCTACATGCAGCGATCAAACCCACCCAAACCTACTTTACCCTCCATCACTAAAATCACCCTGTGAACACGTGTCTGTATGAAAAAACAGGTTTTGGATCAGAGAAACAAAGATGTCTTCAAAGATGTCAAAGGAAATGCTGAAGTTACTCAGAGACCCATGATACTCAGACAAACACAACATCAGGAAAATCACCTGATCGTCTTCCAGGGTTAAGGCTGCAGGAAGTGAGGATGAGGTTGTTAAAAACTTAAACCAAATCTGCGAATTTCAGGAAAGATCGGCTGTTGTTTAAACTGGTGATAAAATTGATTGTAATGATCTGTATATGACTCGTGGTGCAAAGACGACAGGTCAGATATCAGATGAGTTCTTGTTCTTGGATAGATAAGATCACTGGACCTCAGGTTGAAGTCCTTAAAGCTTCACGTTCTCTCATCTTCTCAGTTCAGGCACAGCTCACACCGCTCCTCTCTCTGATGAGACAAACCGACAGTTTGTTTGACTTCCTGATGCCTCAGCTGTTTCCACCTGAACTCAGAGTCTACCTTCTCTCCTCTGCCTCGTTCTTTTAAAGCTCACCACCATGTTTGTGCTTCTGCAGCAGATGGTTTCTTTACAAAAGTAAAGGAAATAGTCTTACTCAGCGCTAGGACAGATTTTGGATGAAGTGTGTGTGTGTGTCAGGCATTAATCACTCCTGTCAGTTCAGATTAGTTGGACTTTATTTAAAATATATTATATTAAACCGCTAAATTATTATATTTAATATATTTAACCACTAAATTATCATATTTAACCACTAAATTATTATATTTAACCACTGAATTATTATATTTAACCACTAAATTATTATATTTAACCACTGTATTATTATATTTAACCATTGAATTATTATATTTAACCACTAAATTATTATATTTAACCACTAAATTATTATATTTAACCACTGTATTATTATATTTAACCACTAAATTATTATATTTAACCACTAAATTATTATATTTAACCACTAAGCAGAAAGTCATAGCATCAAACCTCCCCTTTAAGAGCCATTTTCCCACTTTATTACCTTTTTTAATGACGTTGATTAATGAAACCATTTTGGATTAAATTAAAACTGTAATCACTGATGTGAAATTATTATACTATAGTTCATGACCATCATCTATTTGCTCAGGATCTCAATCAG